GCCCCCCCCCCCATCCCGACAAGTATTGGGTTGCAGTAGCCATGGGGTGCGGCGGTGACAGGGTGCCAGAAATGGGGTGCAGCAACGGTGGGGTGCGATGGCAATGGGGTGCCACACCGACTGGGTGCTAAGCAATGGGGTGCAACGGCAATGGGGTGCAGCAGCACCAGCAGGGTGCGATAGCGGCTGGGTGCGACAGCGCGGGGCGCAGCACCAGCAAGGGAGTGCGATGCCGAGAGGCAGGGAGGTGGGAGCGGGCGGTCAGGTGATGCGGGCGGCATCATGTGAGCGGGGCCGGGCCAGGCCGGAATGGGCTGGGGTGAGGAGGGGAAGGGAGGGCACAGGAGCTCTGTGCACCGGCGGCAGCGATGGGGTCGGCGGTGCTGAGCGGGCTGGCCTTGGCCTTGGCCTTGGTCTTGGCCCTGGCCCTGGCCCTGGCCCTACCCTCCGTGGCCCTGGAAAACGGGCTGGCGCTCACCCCCCCCATGGGCTGGCTGGCCTGGGAGAGGTTCCGCTGCAATGTGGACTGCCGGGCGGACCCCCGCAACTGCATCAGGTCAGCGGGGCGAGGAGCGGCGGGGCGCCACCCCTCGCGCCCCCTCCCCGGGGATCCCTGCCAAGGAGGGACTCGGCGCGGCATCTCCCCGCCGCCCCCCGCCCCGGGGTTCGACAAGGAGGGCTTGTCCTGTGTGTCCCCTGCCACTGGGAATCTGCTCGGAAACGCCGGGCTGGTGTCCGTGGTCTGCCCCGAGGGGTGGATGGGGCGATGCCAGGGCAGGAGGGGGGTTGATGGGTGGTCGGGCCGGACATCAGGACCGGGACGACTCTGGCACTGCACTGTCCGTGTCCCTGGGGTGAGCCCTGCAGTGGCAGGATTTGGGGGGCATGATGTGTGCGAGGCGGGGGGTTCAGGTGTCCTGGTGCTGGGGTTGGAGAGCCTTTGGTGCGGATGGATGTGGCTGGGCTTTGTGGGGTGTTGGGGAAATACTTCTCCTCAGTGAGATCAATGAACAGGGCATGGACAGGGTTTAAACAGAAGCCCTGGAGACCTTCCATTATGGCCCAGGCCAGCCCTGTGGTCACCGACCCCCTAGAGTCCTCAGTTAGCCCCAAAGTCCTGCTGACTGCCTCCACTGGTGGGGCATGGAGGTTGCAGTGTCTCAGCCTGTCACGTTCCTGTCCCACCGATCTGCAGTGAGACGCTCTTCTTTGAGATGGCAGACCGCCTGGCAGAGGATGGCTGGAGGGAGCTGGGCTACCAGTACATCAACATTGACGACTGCTGGTCTGCCAAGCAGCGGGACGTGGCGGGACGGCTGATTCCTGACCCAGAGAGGTTTCCCAGGGGGATTAAGGCTCTGGCTGACTACGTGAGTGCCTGCTGGGGGTGGTGGGGATCTCTGTGTCGCCACACCACCATGGCAGGAGAACTGGGAGGGGATGAAAAACCTGGTCCCTGGGTTGCCCCTCAGACCCACCTCATCCCCTCTTCTGCAGCTCTCTTCTCCTTGTAGGTCCATGCCCGTGGCCTGAAGCTGGGAATTTACGGTGACCTGGGCACCCTCACATGTGGGGGCTACCCAGGCACTACACTGGACCGTGTGGAGCAGGATGCCCAGACCTTTGCAGAGTGGGGTGTGGACATGCTGAAGCTGGATGGGTGCTACTCGTCGGGAGAGGAGCAGGCACAGGGTAAAGGCTCCCCAGCCGGCTGGCATTTCTCCCCTCGCTTGTTTCAGTCAGGACGGATGGCTGTCTGCAGAAACTCTTGGCCAGCCAGTTCTTCCCTCATGTCTCCTGTTGCAGCTCTATGGCAAAGAGGATGGAGTTTGGGTGCCCTAGAGCTGATGTAAGGCAGGAGGCCAGGCTAGCCTGGGGTTTCCCTGGCTGGGTGGGCTGGAACACAGGCTGCTGCCAACTGCCTCCTTCACCAGTTGTCATCTTCTCTCCCTAAGGCTACCCAGAAATGGCAAGGGCCTTGAACGCCACAGGCCGCCCCATCGTCTACTCCTGCAGCTGGCCAGCATATCAGGGGGGGCTCCCCCCCAAGGTGAGGGTTGTCCCATCTCGTGACTGTTTCCTGCATCCCCTGTGCCATAGGGAAGCTCTTGTCTGGGGGAACTGTGGGAGCTGGGTGCTACACCCTGCTTATAGCTCCACCCCAGTAGGATGGGGTTGCAGGTCTCCAGAGGGGACATGGCCTCCCTGCCAGGCATCTGGGGACACTTTAGGGTTCCCAACATGGCTAGGTGATGGGAGTTTGGGGGAAGGAGGCACTGGACCATGCTCTCTTCATCCCCCTCAGCTGGTGTGGGGTTGATCCTGACAATCTGTTCTGTAATGTTTCTTGAGAATTTACTGCATTTATTTCCTCTTCCATATTCTGAGTCATTCCCAAGCTGCCCTCATTCTTGCAGCTGATCATATTTCCCCATGGCCTCTGTGCTTTTTTTGCCAGACATCCTTTCGTACTGAGATGTGCCCAGTCACACAGAGATATGACTCTGTCCTTCATTATATGATGTTGCCATTCTACAGATCCCTCTGCCTTTCACACACTTTCTGGATGCTGCAGCCCTCAACAAGTGTGGCTGCCCTTTCTCCCCCACCTTGCAGACTGGGTCCTTTCTCCCTCCTGCCTGACCCTGTGCTCCTCTCCAGGTGAACTACACCATCCTGGCAAATGTCTGCAACCTGTGGCGTAACTACGATGACATCCAGGACTCCTGGGACAGTGTACTTTCCATCCTGGACTGGTTCTCTGCAAACCAGGATGTGCTGCAGCCGGCAGCTGGCCCTGGACACTGGAATGACCCAGACATGGTGTGGCTGGGTGGTGGGTGCTCTGACCCTGGCTGGGGATGGGGTTAGTGAGTGCATTTGAACGTGTGCTGACAGCTCAGCACCTAACAGGGGCGGGATCTCCTGGCAGTTGTAGGTTGCTTGAGGGGAAGCAAAAGTGCATGTGAGGTTTCCCATGCATGCTCCCTCCCAGAAGGCTGCAACATCACCAAAGGTGACAAGCAGACAAGTTTCTAACCCTTTTCTGCTTCTCCCATCTTTTCACCTTCTCCCCTCCAGCTTATCATTGGAAATTTTGGCCTTAGCAATGAGCAGTCACGCTCCCAAATGGCGCTGTGGACAGTGATGGCAGCTCCACTCCTCATGTCCACGGATCTTCGCACCATATCCCCGAGCGCCAAGGAGATCCTGCAGAACCGCCTGATGATCCAGATCAACCAGGATCCCCTAGGAATCCAAGGGCGCAGGATTGTCAAGGTTAGGGGGAAGGCGGATGTGTTTAGGAGAGGAGACAGGAGCAGCATGGGGTATTGCAATAAGGATGGAGAGGGAAGCGATGCAGAGAAACATGATCAGGAGAGCTGTGGGAGCTGGGGACCTGCTTGTGTAGCAGCCCTGCAGGGCAAGGTCAGAAGTTACAGGCCAGCAGTGGTTCCAGGAGATCTGCCTCACCCACCTGTCCCCACCCCTAGGAGAAATCCCACATCGAGGTGTTCCTGCGCCCGCTGTCCCAGGGTGCCAGTGCCCTCGTCTTCTTCAGCCGGAGGACAGATATGCCCTTCGTCTACACCACCAGCTTGGCCAAGCTCCACTTTCCCCAGGACACCGTGTATGAGGTGAGCCCCACTGGCGCACTGCATAGCAGGACAGCCCCACAGCACCTGGATCTTTCCAGCTCCCTTCTTTTGACACTCTGTGCATTTTGCGGGGAGGGAGGAACTCCCACTCCTGCCTCGAGGATGAAGGGGCAGCTGCCCATGGGGTTGCCCTCCTGTTGCCTGATGCTGTGCCCTGTGCCACCATGCTGTGTCAGTGACCATGGCTGGACCTCAGGATGAAAGGTCTGTGGAAATCCTGGTAACCACCTTTTGTCTCTTCCAGGCACAAGATGTGTACAGTGGGAAGATCATGAGTGGCTTAAAAACAGGAGACAGCTTCTCGGTCGTTATTAACCCCTCAGGGGTGGTGATGTGGTATCTCTACCCCATGGCGCTCCCAGCGCAGTCCTGGCATGTTGTCAGACAGCAAGCTCTCAGCAAGAGTTTCCGCCCCGTCCTCCTGTGACAAGGCTCAGTGGACGGGAGTGTGGGTCAGTGCCGGCATGAGCTGCGAGACCCTGGGACACATGGCTCTTCACTATACAAGTGCCTTTCGCTGAAGTGCCCAGCAGTGCTGGGGTGTGACCATTCCTCCAGTAACAGCTTGATTATGTCTACTCACTCTGTGTAGAGCAGGAATTCTTGTTACCTGCCTCCTAAGGGTGTGCAGAGCATAATTCCTTGGTGATTGCAAAGCCCTGTGAGATACTCCTGTGGAAGATGTCGTACAAGCAGAGTCCAGTCACTGTTGGGAGCTGGTCAGCTCTGACACCTGAGTGCTGCTTCAAGCTGAATACCACTGACTGCTGCAGGGGCTGTTTGAATATCTGTCAAAAGGCTTTGGATGCTTTAGTATCTTCTAGGTTAGTGACACCTCCCCCCCACCATGTGTGATGGCATTACCCTCAAGTATCAGACTTGGTCACCTTCCTTCCTTTGCTGTAATCAGCTTGGCTTAGAATAAGGGGCTGTCAATAGGGCTGCATCCTTCCAATGTACCCTCCTGTCCTGGTTTAAACCTGGCTGGCAACTAAGCACCACACAGCTGCTTGCTCACCCTCCCCTACCCTGGGGGAGGAGGGGAAAGAAGCGGAGGGGTAAAGGTAAGGAGACTTGTAAATTGAGATAAAAGCAATTTAATAATTGAAATAAAATAATAATGGTTATTAGAATAATAGTAATAATAGAATATATAGATGAGTAATGCACAGTAGAATTGCTCACTACCTGCTGACCGATGCTCAGCCCATTCCTGGATAGTGATCCTAGAGCAGAGAAAATCCTGAAACCACAATCCCCGAAGAGCAAGATGTATGATATGGAATATTCCATTGGACAGTTCAGGTCTGCTGCTCTGGCTCTGCTCCCTCCCAGCTTCTTGTGCACCTGTGTTTTAGCAGGACATGGGAAGTTGGAGAGTCCTTGATTTCGTAGCAACAACTAAAACCAATCAGTATATTATCAACACTCTTATGCCAAATCCCATACTGAATCCAAAACACATCATTATCCTAGCTACTAAGAAGAAAAATTAACTCTGTCCCACCTGAAACCAAGACACCTCCCCAGGACCAAGAGCTCCTGGAGGTATGATGGTCCTGTGCAGAGATGTTTTGCTTGCAGGCCTTGCTCCTGCTGCCAGGATCCTGGAGGCCAGCACTACATCAGCCTACCACGCATGCTAGCATTGTATTAAAGCCCCTCTGGTATTAGATCACAGCAAAGCAAAAACCTCCACTGGTCATGTACAACCCCAGCAGCCTTGCTGTGGTACAGCACCAAAAACTGCAGAGCCGTAGTGTGTTGTGCACAAAGCAGTGTCAGGAAGATGCAAATGCTCAGCTGAGGTTGTCTTTTTCGTTGGGAGATGGTCACAGTTGCCTCCCAGCAGCAAGTTGCAGCTTGTTCTTGCTCTACGCAGGGAATTCCTGCTGAAAGGGGGCTCAGGCCCTCTTCCAGCAGGCTGAGCACTCGGAGCTTCTCAGGGAAAGGCTCCTCCTCCTCCCAAAGACAGCTCCATCCACAGCTCCATCCTGAGGAGGAGCCTGCACTAGTAAACTGGAAGTGAGTAGTGGGACAGACTAAAGCCCTCAACTGCTTCACCTTCATACAGCACACATCCCATGAGGAGTTTAAGAGCAGACATGACCTGCCCCAACTGCCTTGGAGCAAGGTGCAGCATTTGTGAAGATTGCTTCTTAAAATTGCAGCCCAGGGACACCGACACAAGATTAAGCCTGAGACCGAGGAAATAAAGGGGAAAAAAAAATTAGTATCCCATTTCTGTGCAGATGCTGGAGGGTTCCTGGTCATCCACTTACTCTGGTTCCTGCAGGATCAAATGTCTGATTCTGGCCACTTCCAGAAACTTTGTCTGAGTGCAGCGCAAAGATACTGAACACGATGCTTGCCATGCTAACAAGAAAGGACAAGTGCACTTCATGTCTTTATACAGGAACTGGCTTTGTTCTTGGGGAGCGATTGAGACAAATTAACTAAAATAAAGGGGAAGCAGATTACAGACTCTCCGTTTCATGTTTATTCAGTGTTGCTAGCTACAACTACATGGTTAATGTAGGATTACAGTACCATTACCTCAAAACAGGAACAACTGTGCAAAGAAACAGAACTGGTTTCCTGCCAGAGACTAGACTGATGCATAGTAGGAAATGGCTTTCCAGTAGTTACAGGTTAGCAGAGCAACAGCTTTCCCTGGCACAAGGGAAAAAAGATTTTACAGTGCAGAGTTAAGTGCCATTTTCCTTTACCATGCATTTATTTTTCCCTCACTGAAAAGAAATTGGCTAGCAAGGACTTCCTCTTAAACACATGCCTTCCCTCCAGCAGTAAATTTACATAGGAGAGGTGCTGTGAATACAGCCATAGGGCATTAGAAGGGTGGTGACATGAGGACATGAACATGTGCCAGTTCTGGGTCTCAGGGTGAGAGCCTTCCACCCTCCCCAGGAAGCAGGATGATGAGCCCCACCTTCTTCTCTGGCCCCAGTTACTTGATTCCAGATCCAGGTTAGCCATGCACCAAGGAGAAAGGACTGGTTCACAGCCAACCCGAGAGCAAACCACCAGTGACTGCTGTTTGCTCCAGCCTCCCGTGCAGCAGGCAAGAATGACGGTGAACACAACACACACAACAGTGAACAGGCAGCTATAGGTATCAACACTCTTGTATTAAAGTGCAATTCAAAAAGTTAACAAACATTCATGGTTGTTTTGGGGTTTTTTTAAGATATAGTTATTAGAATATCTCTAACTCAGACTTAAAAGGTGTTTATAGAGGTACTTCCCCCTATGCAGGGCTAATTTAGGAATTCACACATGGAAGTCTCACTTACTGGAGAGACCTGACATGCAGGGAAGTAAGAAGGGAAACATTCCTTCCCCTTCACTGTGAAGGTAGGAAGGCTGTACAAAGAATTACAATCACCCCGTATGTAAAGGATCACCAGACTAGAGGAACTCTCTTCAGAGCAGGTTTAATGGCACTATGTCCTAAGGAAGAAGGAAAGGTTGTGGCTGAGCAGCCACTCTGCAGGAGAGCTGAGCATCAGTAACATCCACCCCAGACAGTGGTTTTCAGCTGAGAGCGGGCACTGCACCCCTAAGCAACCCAACTCTGGAATTCCAGTGCTGACTCTCCCACGCTGCTCAGATGTAGTCATACACATGCTGGCTGTAGTGGGCTGAGGAAGAGATGAAGGCCAGTTTTCCCCCGTGGAGCTAGCTCACAGCACAAGCTTGCTCAGCAGAGGGAGTCAGGGCTACAGGACCTGTCTCCTGACAAGGCTAGTGCCAGGTCAACTTCCTAATGGAACATATTTTGCTCCAAGGCAAGCAGCCTCCTGTGCAGCACTTGACTCCATTACGCTTGAATAACAGCTGCTTGACACAAGATCACTGCACAGATATATGAGACCTGCTTCGATGAGAGGGAAAGGAAGACCGATTTGCACACCTGCCAGTCTCAACTCCCTGCCCTGTGGCACACCTTTGTTTGCTTCAATGCCTACAAAGGCAGGCTGACTGGGGCCCATCCCCTTCCCTCTTGCATAGTTCAAGGCTTCAGTGTCTCTTAGGATGAACTTCCCAAGACTGGTAGTCTAGAACATAAAACACACTGTTCCAGCACGATACAGGACTTCCAGAGTCCCATCTCACAGTGAGCTGTGCCAGAATTTAAGGGAATTTAACACCTTTCTAGGGCACCAAGGGTCTATGCAAGGAACCTCATGGCTCTCTATACCTTTCCCCTTGAGTGGTGCTTCAGAAGTCAAAAGTTTGGCATTCCAAGTAGTTTTACTCCAAGATCCCAGAGCCTTCATATTTTAGTCCTAGATTAGTGATGTAGTCTACTGGTGGTTTAAGGAGTAGTCCATCTCTCTCCTCAAGCCAATGGCAGAGCAAAAAGCGCTTCAACCCCATGAGATAAATCAAATAAGCAGGAAAGTGCTGTTGTTCTGCCTTGTATTGCCACTGACTTAATGTTTAAGGAGGGCAGGTGCTCAGCTGCCCAGCACTACATGTATTGTATATATACAAAGGGACCTAGAGATATGCTAACCCAAGGGGTAGTAACAGCCAATTGTCTTCAGGGAGAGACAGTGTGGGAGGCTGGTTGCAATTTCTGTCTGTTAGTTGTTCTTCTTATCCTCAGGAGGTGCATAAGGAGGTGGCTGATCCTGGAAGGAGATACAGTAGAGTCAACAATCCTGCTCATTTTATGATGAGCTCTTCCCAGGCGTTCCCAGGCTTGGCTTGCAAGAAATGACCCCTCTTCAGTGAGCTACAGAGCCAGGTGCTGTGTTTTAAGCTCTAATTTCATCACACCATTCCTCTCTATATCAGTTATACTCCAGGATATATGCTGCCTCCCATCATGTTACTAGTAAAGGTCCCCTCAAAACCAGGTAACAAACGGTCTATTGCAAACAGACTATTTAATCTGTTTTAATCACCATCCTCCCTTCACATCCTGGGCTTTGTCTCTGTTGATATTCATAGCTCTGACCCAGCAGACAACAAGCCCTTGGGCTGAGGGCCAGCTTTACTGCTCCATTGGTCTCCAGCTCACCACACAGCCAGGCAAGGCAGGGAAAGGCACATGCAGACTGGCTGCCACATACCAGATGTAGGCTACAGCCTACCTACCAGCTGCCACTGACTGAACAGTGAGAGACCTCCCCATCTCCATACAGCCCAGAAAAAAAAAAAAAATAAAGAGAAACCCACACGCTCTCATCCTTGAGTGATCTGCTCTTCCTTAACCCTCCCCACTTTCAGGCCCAACAGAAGCAGAGACCTCCGTGTGTTCTCTGTACCCATGCAAATTTGTTATACCTTTAAGAGTAAGACAAGTACCAAATGGCTGTTACTGGATGAATCTTTAAGGTCCTTCTCCTTTCCTGATTGAGAGTTTAACAAGCCTTCTTCATGGGACCAACATCCATGCCCCCCTCTCAGGAAAATGCATACTTTCTGTGCATATTCAATATGAAGGCACACTAGACTTTGCAAGGAAAGCAAACTGCTGCCACTATCAGTGATAGAAGAGGGAGCAGGCACCCACAGACCACAGGTGCAGTACTCACCATGGGCATGTACACATTGTGTGGGTTGGCGGGGTTGTAATACGCACTGGAAGCGGCTTCCATGGCCTTACTGCCCCCTACAAAGGAAAGAAAAGAAGCCATCTTACACTGCCTTAGGCCCAAGCCCCAGAGCCTGCTCCCCAGTCACAGCTCTTCTGAGGAGGCAAGAAAGGTCCAAAGAGCCAGCAGCAACTGCAGCAAGCTGGCTTTGAACTCACAGCAGTTCAAGAAAGCTGCAAGCTGGCTAGAGCTGACCACAGGCTATGCAGTGCAGAGCTGAGCAGCTCCCCCCACCCTCTGTTATCTCAAATAATAGATCAAGACGACTTTGAGCTCCTGCAACAGCATCAGCTTCCCCAGTCCATGCTGCACCCACAACGCCACCCACAGCCCAAGCCCCCACACACCCTTTTGCACCCAGACCCTGGCAGCCCCACAGTCCCATTTACCTGGCATTCCTGGGCCCACCCAGGCTGGGGGAGCTGAGGGGGCTGAGGGTCCTGCAGGAGATAGCCCAGAGTAGGGGGGAGGAGGTGGCACATACATGGGGTTCATGTTTGGAAGTGGTGGGTAAATACCTGAAAAAGATGGCACTGGATTGATGCTTTGGACTGTGGCAACGAGACAGAGAGGAAGAGAGTTCACAGGCCCAGAAGCACATTAGCCCTGGACAAGGTCAGGGAAGCTCTGCAGGCTTGGCAGGGATGCAGACAGCAGGGATTCGACATTTTGCCTGTCAGGCCAGCAGGCAATAATGCCAAGCAGCAGCACAATTTACAAAACACATTTTCACCTCCCACCCAGCTGCAACTAGAGACACACATGGGTGTGAACAACAGCACACGACGAAGTTCCTCAGTGGAGACAAAACTACAGTAACCCTCACAGTACCATTGTGATTTCTTTGCAACTAACACCAAACACACCCTTCCAGTCATCATTACACAACTTCCAAACCTGGAGTCTGGGCATATGGATATCCCATAGGCTGTGGAGAAGGTCCGTAGGCATTCATCGGAGGTGGTGCATAAGGATAGGGTCCATTTGGTGGTGGAGGAGCAGCATAGCCCCCTGGCACAGATGAATAACCCCCAGGAGCAGGTGGGGTGGGTGTGTACCCTCCGGGCACAGGTGTGTAGCCATAGCCAGGGTTCTGGAGAGGAACGCCACTAGAAGCTGAGAAGCACATGTTTAGTACGCCAGACAACCTTCTGTTACAACTAAATGTATAGAATAAAAGGAAAATAGTCCTGTTCATGCAGCACCACTTCCTTTCATCTAAATTCACTATACACAATTAGTGTATAGTACTGTCTTTGAACGGCATTAGTCTCCTCACTGCAGGTTCACAGGGTGCTGAAAGAAACCAGCTGCAAAATACTAGCTATCGGGTACCAGTTCCATCACAGAGCTCCCACTGCTGGAAGAAAAGACAATTCTAAAGCAAGTATCGGTAGGGCGGTTTTTCCTTCTTTTTAAACTTTCTTATCAGAAAAAAATGTAAATTCCCCCGAAGTTATTTTTTTAAATTTGTTTTTCCCCCTCTCCAAACGTGCATGTTAACTTCCCTCATTTTACTCCACTATTCTAGAAGAAAACTGAGGGTAGGTGAGTGAGTCAATTTTTCTGTAGAAAAAATTGATCTGTCTCAGAAGCACAAACCCCAGAATATTCCAACTGCACAAAGCACTAAGATAAAAAAAAGAAAGAAAAATTATTGGAAGGAAAAACAAAAGTTCCCTTGGAAAGAGAAAAAATACATTGCTGTGGAAGAGTGCATAGGCTACTCTTCTCCCCATGAAGCTGAAGAGCAGCACTATTCTCTAACTAGCTCAGACAGCCATGGGGGAACTGCAGGCTCTGAAGATCCCTTACCATTAGAGGCAGCTTTGAACATCAGCTGTCCAAACTCAATGGCTCCTCCACTGTTGAAAGTCAGTTTAAATATCCCTTGCCCTTCCCAGCCACCTAGGAGAGAGAAAAATAGAATTGAAAGAGACTATTAATCTCCTCAGTAGCAGTCAAGACAACAAAACAGTTAATATTTCAATTTTTGTTTTTTTTTTTTCCCCAAATTATTTTGAGTCCTATTACCAGAGGGAAAGAGTCATGGCATTGCTATCAGATGTCCCCAGAAATAGTATTTCAAGAAAAAAAACAGGATTTTATTTCTTTATCCTTTAAAAGACAATCCCCACTATAGTTACACAGAAGCAGCCTACTCTAGATGCTAGGTTGTTTTGTTCTTTCTTGAAAGGTTTAATAGAACCTAATAATGAATACAATGTAAAGAAAGAACACTTAATTTACTGAGGATTTTACTTGAAAGCCTTCAAATTAAGTTTTATTGTTGACCTTGAAGGACTACAGTTCAGGATCTGCAACTAAGGCTGGGATTTAAATCAAATGTAACATTTTTAATTTATTTGACCCACAGAAGATCATAAATGGTTACATATAATAGCAATTTTTCAGAAAAAATGCAAGTAGGTGATGATGTTGCAAGGTAAGTAAGAGTAGGGGCTTTTGTGGTGGGTTTTTTGGGGGGTGCTTTGTTTATTTGGTGCTTTTAGAAAAAAGATATCATTTAAATAAAAGATTTCATAAAGTAAGATTTATCTTTCTTGTGTAACAATGAAGTTAGTAAAAGTAAAGATAGTCTCTTGGGGACAAAGCAGAAATAAAGTATAGAAATACAACAAAACAATCCCACATGGATAAAGTCATCCCCTTGGAGATTCTCCTCTTTAAAACCACTGTCTTTGTGTGATTTAAACTTGAGAAAGTGGGCTGGTCCACAGTCCCCAGAAAACCCAGTCACTTTAAAATACTGTTACGAACAGAAAACAAAAGCATAAGCTCTTCAGATGCCATGGAAATGTACATAAATTCCAGGGCTGAAGAGGGAAGAAGTCTTGTTTTTAATCCATTTATCTTCTGCAATTCTCCATGTTTTGTCATGATCATGACTGTAACTTCCCACAGTTTCATCACTAAATTGGGCACAAAGCTAAATCAATGATATACAGCAGCATCCTAAATGCACACAAACATATCCAAGTTGGTAAGCAATTACTGTCCTCCAAAAAACAAAAGTGCTTGCTAATTCTGTCTATCGATGCCAATGAGCGGTGACTTGGTCACTTATCCACCCTTCCAGGTCAAAGACCGGAGAAAATAAGCACACGTGGAAAGCAAATACACACCAACATAGACAGCAAGACAGAACTTGCAGGATTAAACAAAAGTCACACCGTGAAAGTCAGTTCTGGCTTCGGGGGCAGAATGTACCTCAGCAGCAGTGCCTTAAATTTCAGAAGACACAAGTTACTTCAGCGTGGACATGCTAACTGTACTGTCACAGCTACTCTGTCCGAACTTCCTGTGCACATAAGCCATCTATCTGATGTTCAGCAGAAAAGGACTTGTGACACTTGGGAAGAGTTCAATCTACAAAGCACAGGCACATACCTCCTGCCTCAGCTTGAATCTGTCCTTTGATGTAGTTGGCAGAGAAAACAGGCTGCTCAATTGAGCACCCTTTCACCAAATAAAACGGCATCATGAAAGACAGCATAGGATCCTTGCCCTTTGACACAAAGATCATCTGCAAGACAGAAGGTAACACCTCTGAATTACTTGAATTAGATATAAAGGGTGGTCATGGAGTTCTAGTTGTAGCAGCAGCCAGCTATAACCAGAGGGTAACATAACTCCTAGTATCAGTATGCATTAGGTAACTTCACAGCTTTAATAGTGCAAGATCCCAAACAGATATGATGGCACATGGCTCACTCACCTAAAGCATGTCTATTGCAAAATAATATACCATTTAAAACACACATGCACATTTACAGAGTTTTATTGGTTTGCTTTTTAAGGATAGGCTATGACAGTTTTCAGATAAAGTAATACTGACACATTATATGTAATATATTCTCTAGACAGTGATTTCCAGGACTGCACATGCCTTTGTAGGGAATTGGGATTGTGAAACAGACATGCACTATCCTATTTCCACCTTCCCTTCTCCAACCTAGTACTCTCAGTGGTTCCTCCCATAACAAAAATCACTTTTTCTATCACCAAATAGGTTTCTGGTCTAAAGTCTACAAGATCCCTTGAGAAAGAAGCAGCCCTGCTGGCACCAGACTTACCCTGTAAGGGGTGAGATACAGCATCCCTTTCTTGGTGCCTTTGAAGGCTTCAGGCTTGCCCGTCACATCACTGAAGGAGAGCTCCACATCTTTACACTGTTTGAGAACACTATAGGAGGAAATCAAGACAAACTGAAGAGATAAACTCAGCAACAGCTCTGATACCACCCCACCGCCCATCATTACAGGGAGGGGGATAGCACATCAGGAACTCTCAATATTATCCCAAAAGACTCATTTCTGATGTGGGCCCTGCTGTTTTCCCTTTGAAGAGAGAAGGATGATTTATGCAGAGTGGAAGAATTAATCTTCTCACTTGTGAAAACCCTTGCTCTCCTCCACAAAGGGAAGCTTTAAATGACAGTTTCTCTTTCTGTGCCCAAAACCATCAGGCTGAGGATTTCCTCTTCCACATGAGAAGAGCCTCAGCCCAAAGGTCAGGGCACAGAAAGGGTTGAGGTGTCTCAAACCACCCCCCTGAAGCCAAGGCATCATCTCAGAGCAAGCCTCTCTCTCCAGGTCCATGCTCAAATCCAGGACTGGCCACCGCACAGAAAAACAGCACTGCTGGAACACCACACCCACTGTGCAAACCAAGGAAGTTGCTTTACTAATACCCTCACTGCTGACCCTGCTTCACATGATTTAAGTAAATATTTCTAATAACAGCACCATGCTAAGGAACAAAATGAGGAGCCAGCAATGTCAGCAATAAAGTTATTATTGTTGGATATCTACAGGAACATTAGTGAAGTTTGCTAATGAAACAAGGCCAGATGAGAACTGTGAACACTGCAGGGTCAGGGGTATGGAGCTGTCTGAAAAACTAAATATATTTTCAGGAAAAATGAGTCAACTTGAGAAAGCATGTCACTGAATCTAGAGGGCAGATCCTAAACATACCACCTAGTAAGAAAATTTGCAGAACAAACAAGAGCCTTGGAGGTGACAAGCTTGCAGCCTGTTACAGCAGCAGAAGAATCTGAGGCTTTTTATGGTTCAAGAGCACAGCTAAAGAAAACACAAAACCCTAACCCAACAACACAAGCCTGACGAGGTCGGATCTAAAGTAATCCTTATGTAGTCTGATCAGTATACTGTGTAAGTCAGATCAAGTCAGGAAACTGCAAAATTATTGGGGGAAGGGAGCAATCAGCAGGGCCATCATGTGGGAAAACGACCAAAAGCCCTGTAGTTTCAGGTCACATGCTCTTCAGGGAGAAAAGCCTAACAGTATAGATGTGTCAAAAACGCAGTTATTCAAGGAGGAAGACACTAAAAAGTCTAGCTTTAATGAGAAAAACCCAACCTGACTAAGAAATTCTATTGGGTCATTACTTCATAGCTGAGCTAGATGCAGATTTCTCAGACTGTCTGGGAGGGACTGACTGAGAAGGCAGGAAAGCTCTTTCCACTTCCAAGATGCAAACAGGAAACACTTCTAAGCTAAATAAAATTAGCTCCTTGACAGCTTGGATCTTACCAGAACACTTCCTCAACCATGCCCCGCAGCAGTGCTTCACGTCAGTTTGCCTCACTGGGAAGAACTTCTATGTAGTCACTGTAATGTTTACTCCTTCCCAGCTACTCACACAAGCAAATAACATGCAGCCACTACCACTGGGCATAATCAGGCAGCTGGACTGGTTTGCACCTTCATGCCAGTCTAGGGCTGTCACAGGAGGGGTGTGCACCCCATGGAGCCATGCTGCACCCACCTGTGACTAAGCAGCACCTCGAAGAATAGATTGAGGTCAAGGACTGAGGGAACTCTTTAAACCAGCAAAAGCTCTACATGTCAAAGGTCAGTTACGAAGTCAACATTATCTGGAGAATATTTCTGGAGCGCATTTTTTCTATTGTTTACCAGCCCCAAACCAACTTGATGATCCTTTACCAGGCCTCTGGTTTCTAAGATTTCTCTAGCCAAGACTGGGATGCGAGGAGGACCCAAGCACAATCAAAGCAAAGCCCAAGCCCGTCAAGCTGGTCTGTCGATCCCCACTCGGGGCGAGGGCTGGCGTCGAGCAGCCGGCTGCGTTTTCGGGAAGAGGCGTTCCTCCGGCGCCAAGGAGAGGATCTGCTCTGACCAGGCCTCGCCTCTGATGAGTTTTCCTTACTTTGAATCCAAGCGATGAGGACCCCTACCTTAAGTGGTCTCTACCTCTCTGACATCACTAATTGCATGGCATTAAAAAAAGCCAATTCCTTGTATACTGCAGGCAGCTCTCTTCACCCAGGACGTGCGCTAGTGCCACTCAGCGCCGCCGGGCTTCACCCCCAACGACAGAGCAGCTCTGCCGGCTCCGGCCAGGCCTGCTTCCCGCTCCCTGATCCAGCCCGTTCCCACGCAACCGGGCCGGGCCGTCCCAGCGAGGTCGATCTGCCTCCCACTTTGGGATTTAGCATACGTTGCAAAATTTTTCTGGTGAATGGCTTATGCGGTGAAGTTTGTGAGTCTCTGAATGCACTGAGTGGGTACCTCTAGGGTAAAATTTAGACTCTACCCCTCTGTGATACTGTTCAAGTGTTATCTCTGAGGGGAACGTCTGACTTGCTGTGGTCATCCTGGGGCTGAGCTGGTGGTACATGAGAGCGAGGATCCATTCAGGCTTTTCCCAGATCTTCCATCAGATGAGACCTTTTCCCAACAGTATGTCCTGCTGTCGCACAACACGGGAAATTTTTTTATATTTGCTGTTTGTAGACTTCCTGGTAGATAGGCAGATACTGGTAGGATATTTGCATGAGCAGATGGCAGTGAGGAATACCTGAGCTTGCTTTTCTTGGTGACCTTTTATGGATCCTTTAGAAGTAGTCCATGATCCAACAGAAAATGACAGAGCAGAGCTTAAAAACCACCTTATTACAAATGAACAAAATTCCTAAACCTATAGGGCAAAACACACAGCCTTGGCCTTGCAATCCACGTTACAGGCGATGGAAACCATCTCTTCTGTTGCATGGGGTCTGCTTTGCTTTCATGAAGCAGGGTAGCATTGGCTCTCTGCCATAACCCTTGTGCAGGCCCCAAAGTCATAGAAATGACCATACCACAGCCCAGGGTGATGCAGCCCGGTGGCAAGAGAGTTCTAGAGCAGTCACATGGCCATCAAAGAGCTGTGTGAGAAAGCAAGTGCACCTCTGCATGCCCCTGCTAAAGACAATGGAGTTGGGCTTCATGCTTCAGTGCAGTAAAGAAGAGGAGCCCTGTGGGAGCCTTTCCTATTACACTGGGTTTAAAACATTATGTAGAGGTTAGGCAGGAGCAACCACAGCAGAGTAGGCTGAGAAGATGTTTCTGTCAGCAGTGCCGCTGGGGACACCTCCACATCTGGCTGAGCAGTGGAGACAAGCTGGGAGGAGGCTTTGACCCCACGCTGGGCTGTGGATTGCCTGTGTGGGTGGCAGGATGGGTAGCAGCATAGCAGGATGGTTTCTGCAGGGTCCATGATATGGCTGCTGGCACTGGCGACAAGGAATTGTTCTCTGCAGGGCCAAGGAGGCCTGGTGCAGGTGGGAAGGTGGGTGCAAGGCTATATGCACACGCTGCATACAGGAACACCAGGAGCCATGAACATGAGTGGTGAAAGGGCTGCAAAGGGCCTGTATGGCCCTCACATCCTAGTGGTCCTGAGAATGGCTGATTTGGTTTGACAGGTGGGAGTGAGAGTGAAGAGACCTTTGCTTTGCAGTGCCAGCACCAGATAAAGCCACAAGATGGACATATGATCTTAAGAGAGTTTTGCTAAGGCTTGGAGCACCCTCTTAGCAGCTCCGGCCCTCATACAGGTCTGTCAGCCAACCTCAGGCTTGGCTTCAGTCCTCCTCTGCTGTTCCCTTGCTGGAACCCCTTCCCCCCTCCCAGGCCAGCATCTCCAACCCCTATCCCAAATCCACCGCACTTCCCCTTACTAGCAGCACTGCCATCTCGTGCCATGGCATGCTGCACATGCATTTTTAGTGCAACCAGCTATTCTCCTGGAGGTGACAACCCCTTGTGACATGCTAGGTGACAGGCAGACACTGCCAAACTCAGGACATCTGTGATTTTCTCCCGTCCTCCCTTCTGCCCTGACCCTTTCCACCTGGCTCAGGAGCATCCAGAAAAGAAGTGACAATGGCTAGAAACAAGCATATAGTCTTGAGTAAAGCTGTGCCTCTTTCTGCTCCGGGGTCTTTACCTTCCTTCCCTGTCCCCTCCAGGGGAAGGTAGAATAACAGCTTCTTAACCCAACACAACAAAAGCACATTGATAAGGAGGAGGTGTGAGTGCTGGGAGAGGGAGGGAATGGCCTGGACAAGAGGAAGATTCAAGTACTCAGAGAAATGAAGGAGAGACAGAAAGGGTTGAGAGGAGAGAAAGTGAGACAGAGAAAGAAAGGAAGGAATAAAGCTATGGAGGGCTAAAAGGGATGCGAACAAAAACACAGGAGAGGAGGACATGGAAGCTGGGAGGGCAGTAGGAGAGTGGAGGAGCAGCACAGGCTGAGACTGCTGGAGTAGCAGTTTCAGTGAGGAGGAGGTATTGCTTGTATTCCCACCACCACTGAAGACCCAGAGAGACACCTTGGCCCAGTGCTCTTTGCATTCCTCCAAGATCCATGGCTACTCTTCATTCTTCCAAGATCCTGAAGGCCCTGTGCCGAGCAGGACTGACCCTGGGGGAGCTCCTAGCAGGGACCCCCCATGGCACTGTCTTCCCTGCGCTCTGGCCAGGATCTGCTCTGTGCTGGTGGAGAGAGACTGCTGCAATGGAGGATGAGGTGGGGTGACCTCAGGACAGCTTGGTCTGATCTGCACAGGATCAAAAGCCTGTGACATAAGCACTGGGCAGGGCAGTTGCACCATCTGCAGCAGGAACACATTCTTTTCCTCTGGGTGTTGCTTCTTTTGGAAAATATGGCTATTTTCTCCAAGTACTCTGAAGTTTCTCAAATAGATGCTACAGCCCAAGAACTAATTCTGTCTCCTCCCACAGGTCACTTCCCCTGAACCACAAAACATGTCAGTCACTTTCCCTATCTATCCACTTCCAAGCTGCCATTTCTCCTTGGGAAGCCACAGCAAGAAATGAGGATAAAATGCTGGGCCACCATGCCCTCAGACCAACCAGCTACCTTCCCACCTACTGAGGACACAAGAGAAATCTCTGCTGTTGTCACTTGAAGACACTGCATGCACCAACTCCACCATCTCTCCTGGAGTCTCTCCTTGCCATGTCTCCAAGTGATAAAAACAGGATCACAGCATGCACCACACCTCCCACCTCCTAAGCCCTCCTGCCCTCAAAATCCTTCCCCCGCTCCCTGTTTCCCCCAGGCAAGACACACAGCTGAGACACAGAAACGAGAGAAAGGAAGATGACAGACAGTCTGCTGTGCAAAAAAAAACAGAGAATGAGAATACTCTGGGAAGGATGGGGGAGACACCTTTGGTCCCTCTCTGGCACACAGGTGGGCACACGCACACACGCACTCATGCTCACATCCTCTCATGCACATGGAGAACACACCACATGCTTTAGAGACAGGCGCATGGTAGAGTCAAGGGTAGCAGGGGTGGGTTGTCCTATCCAGAGACATCAGGTGAGAGCGGGGTGAGAGGGGTCATTCACAGGTTACTTTCATGGTTTTCCTCTGTCTCAACAGTCATGGGGGGCAGCCCTCCGTTGTCATTCAGCCGCTTGGCCCTGTAGGTCTCATAGTGGATGTTGTGGGTCACTTCTTTTAGGTCCTGAAGGTGGGTCCTGCAGAGGGCAAAGTGAATATTGGGTTGGAAAGAGGATACAATAACCAATATCAGAACAGTCAGTATTAATCTGATTATAATTTTATTCCCTGAGATAAATGGAAGATTTCTTCAGCCAGTCTGGCTAATGAGCATACCCTTTTTTCTGCATGGATGGCATGGGTGCCATCATACACAACTGGAGTTGGAGCATCAGCGTTCAAGAACACATACGCAGGATGCAGGATATGGGCTGAAATTCCTGGCTGTGCTTGCCAGTGTTCTGCCCTCCTCACACCTGTGCCAGTGTGATAGCTACTGGCCATCCTGGTGTGAGAGCAGACATGAGCTTATCTCATCTGAAGCGGTGGTGAGACAAGGAAGCACCAGGAGGGTGTATCAGGTCCACTGCAGATCATAATGTGCAGAACACTGCTGTGAGTATCGTCCCTAACCTCCATAGAAGTCCTGTGGGCTTGGATTGCTATATGCTTTATGATGGTCACTTGGTTTGGATGTTTTACTGGAAGACTTAGGGAAAGCATGTCTGCTGCAGAAGGTATTGCAGAACAAAAAGAGGGCAGTAGGGTGATGTCAAAGCATTGTACCTGGCCAAGTGTCTCAATACCACCATATCCACAGGTGGAAAGAGCTACAGGGCTCTGGCTTCAAAGTGTCTTTCCCTTATTTTCCTATTTTTGTTGTTGTTTTAAAACCTTACTGTTCTTATAGGGAACAGAGGTGACCCTGGATGTGCAGGTCTTCTACAGAATTTGGGGCAGATATCACTTGTGCTGAGACAACTTCATGAAACAGTAGAAATGAGACAGGGCAATGAAAGCTGAATGAAATATGGAGCTTTTTACTTCCAGGTCATATGTTCCAGCACATCCCTTAGCCTAGTAGAACACATGGTCTAGGATGTGGTAGTCGCCTCTTTCTAACTGACTCCAGCTCAGACATGTTGTCAATTGCTGACATAGAAGTCGTTGCAACCTAATATCCTTAAGGGATATACGGGGGGTAGTAGTACCGTGCTTTTCTCCAGGTGTCCAGCTCAGACATGAAAACTAGCACCTGTTTGACATAGTGGTCATGTCACTAAGAGAGGCACTAGATTATCTACCCCTTAATTTAATCCAACTCTACCCCAAATAAGCTTTCACAGCCTGAAATGTACTTTGTTTTCCTTTCCATAGGGGCTATTTCACTCTAAGAGGGTCTCAGGAAGACTTCCTGCTCATCAAGAGCAAACTGGTGACTGACCATGGTCTTACCTGATGACAAAATCTCGAAGTAGGGCAAATTCACAGTGAGTGAGGTTTTCCACTGAAAAAAAAGCAAGCAATTGTTACATTTGATTTTTTCAACAACCCCTTTGTGGTTACAGAGTGTGGGAAGGTCACTGCCATGCAGCAGGTTTCAGGTGGGCAGAACCTGCATACTTCAGAAAGGACAGTCATCGAGGAGACATGCTAACAGGTGCTGAGCAGTCACATATGAATTTTCATTTGAAAACCAAGGCGACCTCAGGAGCTCAGTGTCACACACTGTAGCGTTCGGAGTGGCTCCAGCTTCTGCCAGTTGGTGGTAGAGGTACCACACTGACCATGGCAGTTTCCTCCCAGCAGAGAGCTATTTGAGAATTCTCCTCTTGCTTGGTGTCAAAAAGTTTATCGCAAAAGGGATGGGAAGGTAGACATGGGACATGTTGTCTGGACCCTTGTCTATTACTAGGGCCTGCAGAGATACTTTCAGCTCTCAGAAGCAAGGGATAATTTACCTTCAATGATTCCCCAAGGTGTTTTCCTGCCCAGGACTCTTTTGCCATTCACTTGATACTCTTTGTCGCTGCCCACTACTGCGAAGGGCATGCTTTCCTGCTGGGGAGAGACATGTGGAGAGACCTATTGAACCAATTCCAGAGAGCAGCATCATCCCTGTTCCCTGTCCACCTTTCCTCCTGTCAGCTCACAAGACCTTCTCTAAGGGAAGAGGTTCTCCAGAGCAACACCTCACTGACTGTCCTTTTCACCAGTCAGTGCTATCCCTAGCATTTTGGGCCCTTGCTTTACAGGCATCCTTGCACCCCACGAGCTTAGTGGGTAGCTAAGGGCCAAGGCTTTGTAGCAGGGGCAAGAGCTTTTCTGCACCCATCTCCAGCATTTCTGAAGAGGGGGATGACCAGAGAAGAAGTACCTTGGTGTAACCAGGAGAGGGTCTGTCAGCTCAGGGCTGCTCATATGGAGAGTCTGCAGTCAGTATTTCTCACCCAGTTTATTGTTCTTCACCAGAAGAAGTAAAGAACTCGAAATAATCCTCTCCAACAAGACACATGAACATTCAATAAGTGTAATGGCTGAAATGGTTGTACTGAGGAAGGCCCAAAATGGGGTAGGGGTGCAGCTTTCCTGGGAAGTGGGACAGTAGGTGAGGCTACTGGGAACACAGGTATCTCTAAGCACAGGGAGAAAACATCTGTATCCAGAGTGCAGGGTGCAGGAGACCCTGCTATCCATAAGGTTGTGCAGATGTTCATAGGTTTACTCTGCTTTATATGTGTTCCTGGGCCTGACAAGAGACTTCAATTACGGCAGGAATGAAGATTTAAAAGCAGCTTATTTCTTATGTGTGATTATCCAAACCTAGGGCATGGCGCTGAAATGCAGAACAAAATGTGGTGCCCTCCTCAAAACCAGTAACAGTTCGGAGAAGAAACAAAACCCATCTAGTCTTCTCCAGAATGTGTGATGTATTGTCAAATAGGAAATGATTAATTAAGATAGGGAAGCTGGGAATTTCTGTTGGGGCTGTTACAGTGGAGGGAGTTGAAAGGACAAGTGTTAGGCTGCAGTGCAAGACTCCTGGAGTTTCTTGAGGACTGCCATGGAGGCCAATCTATTTTCATTAATGGCCTAGCCACAAAAAAGATGAGTGGGATAATTAAATGCACTAGCATCACAAGGCTAAGAGGTGTTGTCAGGGCAAAGGCGGACTGAATTATTATCTAGGAAGATGTAAATTTGAGGCACATAGAGCAGCATTTAGGGAATAACATCAAGAAGTTCTGCTATGACTTCAGAGCTCATGAACAAGCAGTGACTGAGGGAGTGGAAGGGCCCCATGTGCTAGTCAGTTACAAGATGACCATGAGCCACCAGTGTGATGCAATTGTTTAAAAAGCACATGTGGTCCACGGGCTTAGGAGGTCAGATCTCAGAAGAGATAGGGGAGCATGGGCTACCAGCAAATCAAATCAAACTGGAGCAGGCACAGAAAAAAGTGACTAGAAGCATGGACTACTGAGGAGTGGGAAGCTCATCCAAAGAAGCTTGTCTCCTTTAGCTGACCAGGAGGTCAGCAAAGGATAATATTGTTCTCTATAAATGCCTTGAGTGGTGGAGGGGACCACTAGGTAGGAGAACTGCTTGAGTCAGTGTTGGCACAAGAACACATATATAACCTGGGTACAACCTGGCCATGAACAAACACAGTCTGGAAATTAGGAGACAGTTTCTAATGCTCTGAGGAGGGAAAGATGGGACAAGCCTTCTCACAGGGGCTGGGAGAGAAAGGTTGAGTTTGGTCAGCAGATGAGAGGACTCCTGGGGTAGTTGTTTGGGACAGAGGCTGGACATCAGCCACACACCAGGCCCCTTTGGACCTTAATGGTGGCCAAACAGAGCATTCAACAAGAGGAGGTGAAATATAGTCCTGCCTCACTCAGCCTTCATAGCATCCTGTCTTAACAGCAGGGACAAATTAAGCTGGGAAGGAGGAATGACCATCCCTTATATCCATTGCAACTTTCATTCAGGGACCAAGAAGCACGAAACTTTATAGTGACACATGTCTGTTTTACATTCATTAAATATCACCAGCCCTCATCCCCCCTTCCCTTCCTATAATAAAATGTTTCCTACCCTGATTTTGTCATTCTCTGTTTTATCCTCCAAGTCCTCATCAAATTCTTTCTGGGGGTAAAACTCGATCCCGTTTACTTCTAGCTCTTTGCGCACCTGGGCAGAGAGACATTTTTGAGCAAAAGCAACACAAACCTGAAGGGAGGAAAGGTGGGATGGCCAGGCAAACACATCTGGGACATCACTCCAGTGGGCAGGGGCTGGAGGGATTGTCCCCTGGGAAGCGTGCAGCAAAGTGAGGACACACGGCAGCAATGATGAGTCTTTCTTCCCCAACTCCCATTACTTGTCTGGCTCTGCAATTACCGTGACAGAGCATATCATGATGTGGCACAGGGATACACACATTTCTTCCCCCTTTCACAGGGGCCATCAGAGCCATAAACAGCTGCATCTTCAGGACTTACACACCAACCCAGCACTGGACGCTATGCATGCTCTGGGGACTGCACTGCAATCCCAGGAAGGATACTGCTCATTTCTCCCACCTCCAAGCCGGGGCTGGGAAGGATCCTGTGCAGGAGAGGAGATACTCACTCTTTGTTTGAATTCGGTCTTCTCCTCCAAGGTCATGGTGTCAGCCTTGGCAATAACCGGGATGATATTCACTACCTTGCTGAGATGTTTCATGAACTCCAGGTCCAAAGGCCTCAGGCTGCAGCCCAAGAGGGAACAACATGGAAGGGATCACTTTACCCTCCTCGCCTTTCATCCTAGTGTCTCTTCCAGCATCAGGGCATCAGTGAAACCTCCCTTGTACATACCCCGCTAGCTGCCACCATGCTCTCATCTCCTTCTTCTCATCCATCCTGCCCTTTCCCAAAAAAGACAGTGGCATTTCTCCTGCCCCTGTTATCCTAGACCCTTTCAAGCCCTTCAGCACCCAAAGTTAAGCTAAACAGTGGCCAGCCCCACACTCAGGACCCCTGGACCTGTAGCTGAGATGGAGCAGTGCAGGGTATCTAACTGGCACAGAGGCACCAAGAGCTTAAGGAATGATGAGGGACCTGAGTACGTACGAGTGGCCTGTAGGGGAGATGAAGTAGAGGCAGCAGTGCACTCGCGTGTCTGGAATTCGTTTCTTCCTTGCAATATTCACCTCCTCTTTCAAAAATTTTTCATATTGCTCATTGATGTATTTCTCAATAGGCTCCCAGCTGTTGAAGGTGGGAGAGAGAGATGAATAGATAGGCACAAATCTCCTCATGTTCCTGCCTACAGTGTTCCCAGCTCTGACAGCAGCAAAACAGGCTCAGGCATAAAAAATATCTACCACAAGTGTCTCACCATCAGCAGAGATGCTCAAGAGTTTCTGTAACTGGGCACAGAAATAGGCACTTGCTATGTAATGTGTGCATAGCCCTGAGCATGCACACAGACCCATGGTGTTCACAATTCCACATCCCCATTACCAGCCCCCTGAGTGCAATAGGTTCCCAGATGCTTTCCAGGACAAGTAGATAACAGCCACTCCATACACCGTCTTAACTCCAGCCCTTTCTGGGACACAAGGCCTTGACCATGTAAAACTCACCAGTTCTCATTGTTGATCTGGTCCCCAAATCCTGGTGTGTCGATCACTGTCAGCTTCATTTTGACGCCACCTTCTTCAATGACTGGGGAAGAAATTGCAAGCAATCATACACCTCCCTGGGGACCTGCTCAATCATGAAACATGTCTCTGTGCCCTGCAAGGGAACAAGAGTGTGCTGCCCTCTTCCCTGCCCAGCAAGCATGACCAGGCCAGGCTGGGTCATGCCTCAACAGTTGCGACCCCCACTTGCATTTCTGACCCCAAATTTTGGTAACTTGCACCAAAGCCACTCTGCCACAGGAAAATGTATTTGTGCTCAATCTGTGGCCCAAAGGTAGGACCTACCTTATACAACTTGTCCTCCCCTCCAATACATCATCCTGAATCTGAGATGGTGCTCACTACTCTGCATCACTGCAGAAGCTGTGCGGATGCTTTGCCACCAGGAGATATGCTCTACCAGGCTTGGGATGGGGCTCACCAATGCAATTTGTATAGATTATTAAGCATCTGCAGGTGGGAATGACTTAAAGTAAGGCTTCATCCAGACACACAGTCTAACGTCTGGGCAGACAAAATATCTATAACTCTTTTTCTACCCCTCACTTTTGGCTGTGGCATCAGTGGCACTGCTGTTTAAGAAAAGCCTTGCCTGGGTCTAAGACCATCTAAAAATGGCACTTGTCCTTTAGCTTCCCATGGAGAAAGGAGAAAGGGCTGCCTAATACCAAAGAACTGTTTGCATGGACTACTGGGGTTTGTATGGACTACTGGAGTTTACATGGACTACTGGGGTATTCTGCAAGACTATGCTGAAACATCAACATTCCCTCCACCCCAGCAGCCTGGCTCTTACCATGCCCAATGGCTTTGATCTCCACTGTCTTGGGGATCTTCTCCTCCCTGTTCCAGCCTGAAGATTTGCGGCTCACCTGGGATTTGAAGAGGGTGTTCACCAGGGTTGACTTTCCCAGGCCGCTCTGACCTGAGGATTGCAAAGAGGAAGCTTGTGACATCTGCCACAGCCTGCCAATGCCAGCAGGCCCAGGGAATGGAGCCAGGCTGTCAAGAGAGGAGGCTGTAGGTGTCTCCTTGCCTTGTGCAAGCTCTCATTTCCCCCAAAGCAAGCACTATCTACTCCCTCATGCCCTCCCTGCAGGGCTCGCCTTCCCACCTAGCCTCATAGGACAGTCCCTGGTCATGATTCCCAGTACCTCACCTGGTCTCTGCCTACCTACAACCATGATGTTGAAGTCAAAACCTGTCTTCATGGTTTTCCTGCGCATCTGCTCAATGATGGTGTCAATACCGATGTAGCCCAGCAAGTTGGCGTTAATGCCCATGGGTTTCATTGGTACGACTGGTTTTTGTCGTGGCTCTGGGACCAGCTCAGACATGGCTGCTTCGTTTTTGCTCTCCACTGGCCCTGCATGGGGAGAAAGATTGAAAAATCATCATTAAGGTGTAATAAGAACCTCCCTGCTGTCACAGGGACTCAGGGCAACTTTGAGCATCCATTTCAAGGGCTATTGAGGATAACTGAATGGTAAGATTTTAGCAATAAGATTCTTCATGGAGGAATATTTACTTGAGTTTCCAGCACACTCTTCTAGGTATTACTCCAGATGAGGAGGTGGAGAAGTGGGGTTTGTCAGGCATGCAACATATTGATGGCTATTCCAAACAGCGAGAGCAGACCCAGTGAAGTGGAGCACCTAACCACATGTCCAAGGCTCTGTGTGTCTCCTCATTTTTGCCTCCCAGTACTCACCAGGATCACCAGTGTTTTCTCCCTCCAAGTTTAGCATGAAATTTGCGATGGAACACACTTTCAAAAATTATGCGTGGAGTCCTGGCATTGAAACAGAGTTTGGAATCTACTGTGAAGACTTGTAAGTTTGGCCATTGCCAGGGGTGGCTGTTACTGACCCTGCTGTGCAGGCTGAGTTCCTCAGAAGAAGGCAGTGGTGGAAGTGCCAATCATGGCCACAAACTCTGCACTTGCATCCCACCCGTAGATTGATGGGTTTTGTCATGCTCAAGAAACTAATCATTGTGATCAAAAAACTAATCATCTGCACCTTTCCCTCCTCACCTCTCCCTCCTCATTTCTTCCATGTAAAACAAACGGGCAAAAAGAAAGGCCCTGTGGGCTTTCCATCCTCCCTGACTCTTTCTTGGGTGATGATACACACAGCTTGGGGCGGGCCTTATCCATTTATCTCCATCTCTTATCTCATTAGTGAGCAGCTTCCACCTGCTGGGAGGAAGCCAGAGGTTGGGAGAGGACAAGGCACAGCAGAAAATCTGTAATTGCTGGGGAAGGGAGGTATGAGGGATGAATCTGGAAAGGAAGATGAAGGAGATGGGAATCAAATACCTTTCATAAACAAACCAGCTGCAAACTAGAGCCTTTCCCACTTTAATTACTTGACTCCCCCATGCTTTGTCTCATTTAGATGGTTATTTTTCCAGGACAAGGACAGCATGTGTTTTTGCTTCATAAGCACTCCACTTGTTTTGTATGCCACTTTAGTTCAAGTATCTCACACTAAATTATCCCTTTCCATCACTTTGGCAGAGTTTTTTGCTTCTCTCAGCAGAATCTGCTGGCTGCATAGGAGGACATGAGCATCCAGGCAGGCAGCTGCCATTTGGTAGGTGACACATGCCTTGGAGAGGCCACCAGGCTGGGGCCACTGATAGAATCAGTCTGGGGTCCCCACAACAGCTCAGCCAGCTAGGTAGAGGCCAGGGTTGGGGAGAGGTCAGAGAGATTTTTGTTCAAGGACAGGGTTAGGATGAAACAGGCTGCATAGCTGGCTGCTGATCATGCCTAGCATTCCACGTCAAAGCTCCTGTGCAGACACAAGGGATGCTCTACACAGTGAAGGTTTTACATTTTATATAAGCCTTAATATCCCACTACCGTGTGCTGAGGGCAGACCTTGCGGAAGGTCCATGCTTGGCAGGGAGGGTACCTCCAGCCAGCTCCTCTTAGACCACTTGGGAAGCCTTTTATGTTAAACTGGGAGAAGAGATCTTCCCTCCATGTAAGAGGGTGGTCGCACAGCCACCAATACAGCACTGTGGGTATCACCTGTGTTCCACCTTGCCCCCAGAGGAGACGTCTGACGGAGGATGGCTGCCCCCTCCTGCTCTTCCCCACAAGCAAAGGCACTCTGAGCTATCATTATCCTCTCCTGAAGCATGAAGCAGCACCCTGGGGGGACCAGAGCACAAGACAGACCATTGGCTTGAACCAGACTGGCAATCTGGAGCACTTCATGCTGCCGCCGGGCAGCTGCCCGAGGAGGCAGCCTGCTGAGCTGAGTGCTTCTCAGCTGCAATCCGCTCTTACACCCGTCACAGCTAGTCTGTGCCTTTCCTGCTAACAGAGCATCCCCTGGGGCTCCTGTTGTCTTCTTCCAGCTTTCTCAAAGCTGCTGCCAGCCAGGAAAGCCCATCTCTCCGGCACAGCAGCCAGCCAGCTCCCCTGCACCCTGTCCTTCATTTTTCCTCTATCAGTCTGCCCCATGCCACTTGTACCATAGTCGTGTGGCTGTGCCGAGCTCCTCATCCTGCTGCAGCATCCTCCAGTGTGCACCTCACACAGCCCTGCTGGGGTCCCACCTTCCCCAGAGACAGGGACAAGAGAGAGTGAGACAGGCAATGATGAGGGGATGTGGGGCATGGGGCTGTGTCCCCAGTGGGGCACTTGGCTACTGCAGTAATGGGGGAAAATAAACCCCAGAGGTGGACAGGGAACAAGTGAAGGTGGGAAGAAAGCCCAGCTGAGCAGCTATGTGGGATGGGTGCAGGACCTGAGCCATGTAGGCTGTGACCCCTTCACTGCCCAGGCAGTAGCGTCTCCTCAGGGAGTCTGTTGCCCTCTCTTTTATTCCTTCAACTCCTTGTTCTTACACAGGGAGGAGGAAGAAGGGAAATTTCTGGCAGCCAGCCTCAAGGCTCACTAAGTGCATAACTCATCCCTCAGTCTCACCAAGAGATGCTTTGCCCAGAGCTAGCAGGTGTTGCTAACTTCTGTGGACATCACAATACATGGACATCCCTTTGCAGGTTTTGCTACTGGAGCCAGGAGCTTGCAGTGGCTGGAGCAGCTTTTTCAGATTCAGGTTCCTGAGCACCTATAAAAGCCCTGAGACCAAGAGAAAAGATCTCTAGAAGTCTCCTTAAATATTTCATGTATCACTGATGTCACCCCTGGGCGTTTTGATCTTGGACATTCAAGGTCTCAGGATAGACAACCTCCCTTTCTCCTCTCAGTCACTTGCCTTCCTCTCTGTGTGGGGTGCCTTCCCATACAACCTCTGGAAGGAAAGCCCCCAGTGTGCAAAGAGGTACTCAAGGGTTTAGCTTTCTGCACACAATTTTCCACCTCTTGAATCCCACAGAGGAATCCAAGCAGCCAACTGAGGAACAGCCTGCCAGGGAAGCCAGGGTGTGCAAAACCAGAGCCAGAACTACAAGAGGTACCTTGAGACATGAAACGTGTCTACCTGCTCTCATGTAAATGGCTCTGGTTTATGTGCAGTAATGCTAATGCTGCTAGGAAGCCTCATGACTGACTGGTCAAGGGGTAGCATTGTGCATTCTAGGCATATCCTGTAGCCCCTCCAGCTGTCCCCTGTAATAAATACATGATAGGGCACTACAGCCAGTACAGCTGATAATGAATAGAGGGTTAGCCAAGGTTAACCACTTACATCTGCTATTTGCATTGCCACCCTTTTCCCTGCTGCTTTGTTCTGTGTGCTAAACAAAGCTCATTTAAGAGGGCGGTTGCTGATGATATCTCTGCTGCACAGTTCCTTGGGCAGGGCTGCTTGAGGATAACCTCTGGCTCACAGGAGATGCTCCACTTGGGTCTGGAGCAGGGAGAGATGCAGCATCAGGGGCTGGGACAGGCAGGGCCAGAAGGGCAGTGGGTGCCTGGAGAGGTCCTAGTGGTCCCAACTAGCTCCTGCTTCTGATGCCCGCCAATCCACCCCAAAACCTCACCTGGAGGGCCAGCATATGTGGCCAGCAGCAAACACCACTACCTCAGCACACCCTTCATGTCTGCCTGCCTCTGACGTTTGCAGCAGCTAACTGGGGACAGAGGTGGCCTTGCAGGTCCCTTATGGGCACAGGTAGTGGGGACTAACATCTACTCTGTCTGGATAACCCAGATACAGTCGCATTCCCTCCCCCTGCCTTCCTGTCCTTTGTCTGAGTGGCAAGAGGGAGGGAGGGCTGCAAACCCTCGTTCACCACAACCCAGCTTCCAGCAAGAAAAGGCTATATAACCCCTACGTAACACATGGATGGCCTCGTTGCGGCTCTCCTCCCGTGTGGCACAAAGCTGTCCTGCTCTGGCTGGAGGCAGCGATCCACATGTGCCTTGCCCCAGCCCCTTACACCCGCGTGACCCCAGATCCATAGTCCCACTCCCTGCAGACATGGAATGGGAAAGAGGGATGGGTTCAGAGCCTGAAGGCAGCTGCCAGGAGCAGGCCCTCAGAGAGTGAGGCAAGGTCCTTAGAAAGGAAAGCAAGCAGCTGCTTCAGTAGCACAGCCTCCCTGGGGCTTGCAGGCATTAGGATCTGCTCCTTGCTTCAGATCTGCAGACATGCTGGACTGAGCATCTCTCTACTGGAAAAATCCCTTTCTCCCCTCAGTTTCTATGATGACCCCAAGGCATTTCTCCCAGCTGTGCAGGCCAAAGGCCCAGACATGCTGGATGCACCACTTGACCTCAGGGTGCAGAACATTCTTCTTACCAGATCTTTTTGCCTGGCCTGAGAATCACTGGGCATTTCAGGTGAGGCAGGGAAACTCATTCTAGCCCTGGGCTGCAGCAGCCTTCCCAGCAATGACCTTCCTTCCCCCCAGCGCTCTGCAGAGGGCTTGGGCAGGAGCCCGGCTCTGCCAGGGCCACAGTGAAATCTAGGGCAGCGTGTGCTGAAGCCTCTCTGGAGACACAGGAGCTGGAGGTGAAGGGGCTGGGCACGTCCCCAGCCCAGCTGCCACAGGATTAGATGCTCGCCTCAGTCCCGGCTGTACCCTCGGTGCCGCTCCCTGGCTGTGCACTCTTTACCCCATATCTCAGTTTGCCGCCTGGGCATCACAAGGCAAGAGGATGCTGAGCAGCCCTGTACCCATGCCACTGCAGCTGCCTGTCCCCCTGCCCATCTGCCCACCAGTGCTGGGGCTCCCTGCCTACCCACTGTCTCCTGTGCAGATGCCCAGAGAGCAGCACAGGAGATGTCCCTGCTGCCCCCGCAGTGGCTGCCTGTCACTGGCAAGGGACAAGCCAGTGCCGAGCAGCTTGTGGGCTTTCCCCAGCCCTGGACCAGCTGGGATTATCTCTTTCTTTCAGAGCAGCCACTGGCGCCAGCTACTCCCCATCAGCACTGTAACCAGCCCATGTCAGACTGCTGCCACCAAAAGGAAAAAAAAAGAGGAAAGACAAAGCAAGGACCGATTTCCCCCCAGTGCCCTTCGGGTTTATTCCTCCCCCATGGCCAGAGCTGGGCAGCGTGGGGGCACGGCGGAGGGTGCCTGCACAAAAAGCCCCAGCAGTGTCCCTCCGGCATCGCCCAGCCCTGCCAAGCCCAGAGCATCCTACCTTTGAACATGAAGCTTCCTTTGTCTCCGAATCCTCTCCCAAGGGGGTGGGTCTCCCCCCTACTTTTCTAGCCTGCCGCTGGCGCAAGAACGGTGGGCTATGAGGCTCTGCTTTTACCTCTCTCTTTCTTCCCTGTATCCTCTTCTCCCCCCTCTCCTTCCCCTTCTTCTCCAGTGGCTTTTTCAGTGAAGCGGGGATGCTGGTGCTGCTCCTGCTGCCATCGTCATGTGACCTGAATATTAAACATCGCAGCAAAATCTCCCCCTGCGCACCCTCCCCCGGCTCCATCCCAGGCCCCCGCCAGCCTCCCCTCCTGGGGGGCATGGCTGTGGGGATGGAGGGGCTGCCACTGACGTGCTCCCGTGTCTTGGAGGGGCCCCTCTTGCACACACACACACACCGCATAGGCCTTTTCTTGCCCCTTTCTCTCCTAATTGCCCAGCATTTTCAGCATCTCTGCTTGTTTAGGGAGGGAGATATTTAAATCTTCACAGCATCACTCCAGCGGGGCTGAGAAAGGGCACTCTTTCCCCCTAGGTATTTATTGGGATCAGGAGGTTGCAAGGCTTCCTTCTGCTTTCCCAGAGGGAGGAAATTTGGAATATTTTGGCACATCAAAAGTGATTTGCCCTTCAGCTCCATTTGCAGAGGCGTGAGAAACCTTTTCTCCACTGGCACTGCAATTCCTGGCTGTCAGCCCGCAGTGCAGAGGCAGAGTGAGTGTTGTCCCCTCTGTATGTGTGTGTGTGTGTGTGTACACACATGTGCATGTGTGTTGCATGTGCATGTGTGTGCATGCGTGTGGGGAGCAGGGAGAGGTGCCAACTGTGGGCCATGTTGGGGTACACAGGTCACACTCCTGTGTACTCCAGCAGATGTTTGTCCCTGGTGGTGCCCACCTGCATGTGTCCAGTGGATGTGCCCACACCTGAAGAGCCATGCGGATGCCCCCGGCTGCTGATGCCTTTGGAGGGGGATGCCCCTTCCTTCCTCTGTGTTTCCTTCTCCTATGTTTGTGAGCCCTGGCCCCACCAGGCACCATGCCCCCGCCATGCCGGTGCTGGGGCACGAACATCTGGGACTGCTCTGATCCTCCACTCAGTGGGACGACAGGAGCATCCTTTCAGGGGTGTTCCCACATGTCCCTATGCCTTGAAGCAGCACCCTGGGTGCGGCCAGGCTGCAGGATGCCTGGCAAACTCAGCAAGGGTTTTGGGTGCCTCTTTTTGCAGCACCCTGGGGGAAAAAGGAAACTGCACCGACTGCAGGTTATGGGAGCATTTAGAAATCAGTCAGCAGTTACCCAGGCTAGGCTGAGTGGTTGGCAGGCTGGCTGCCGACAGACGGACGGACAGGCATCCTGGCACCTGCAATATCTCCTGATGTGGTGCCCATAACCACCCGTTTCCCTGCTGGGCACCAGACTCACCGCTGCCTGGGCTCTCATCCCACCTGCCTCTGCCCGCCCATGCTCCTGGTGCGGGTGAAGGGGAAATCGCTCCCATCCTCCCCGACATCACCCCACTGCTCCCGAAGGGCCCTGCCCCAAGCTGAGCCCCATGGCACTGCCAAGGGACCCTCTTGCCTCCCTCCCCCGCCCCTGCCCAGCCCATCCCGGCAGCAGAGACCCACCGGAGCGTGGCAGGGAGCAGGGCACCCTCATCTTCGCCGCTGGGGCAGCCTCGACACCCCCGGGGCTGCCAGGTCGCTGGGGCCCCTCAGCCGCAGTGGGC